GATCTCAATCATGCCAGGCAGCAGCAACTTGCTTCTTTGAAATACAGTCAATCCCACTTGCAGAGGCTGTCATTTAATAGGAGGCAAACTTGGCAGGTAGAAATTATAAATACATTTGAAATTTTCTCAGCTAGTTTTACCCACCAGGGGTTGCTGTGATTTTCAGGATAATTTAAAGATAAGGCAGTAGGTCAGAATATGAAACACTAAAGAGGTTAACAAAGAAATGGCAGAATATTTCTTTCTCCTCAATAAATGAAAGAAGACATACATACGTGCACACACACATGCACACACATGACAAATAACAGTGTCGCTCTCTCTCTCTGAAGCTCTTATAAAAATAAAGGCATGAAATAAATAGAAAACCTTCAGTGTTTCAGCATCTTTCCTAAATGGGAAGGTAGCTTTATCTGACACTTTGCATTTAAAAAAAAAAATTCAGGTATCAGGGATGGAAAAGAACTTGTAGACCAGCCTCTCACAGAACAGACCAAACAAACCACCGATTAAGTTTTCATTTCAAGTGCAGACGCAGACACAGCAGTTTCACCCTCCGATTCTATTACCAACGCTAATCTCAAAGTTCCTTCTGCAAAAATGTTTCTTATGTGAACACCTCTTCAATAACCATTACCCCAGTCAGGGGGTGAGATCAGAGAATCTTTCAGACCGGGATTCTGGAAGGATTACCTTGGACGCACAGTTCTTTTGGTAAAGATACCAGGAAGAGCTAAATAGTTGTAACGTTATTACATTAATTCCTCTCATTTGATTTTCAACCCAGCTTGCCACACGTGGGAAGAAGGTTGGCTCCACGTGCTGCTGAATTTGTGATACTAACCAACTGCTCAGGAAGGAGGACATGGCCCAGCGAATGTAAGAACCCAGCAGCTTCTCTTATGTGGCAGGCAAGAGAAATGAGCAGGAAATGGGTGCAGATGCCTTTGGAGTGACAGAGGGTCACATCTGAGAGGCCATCCTATATTGGGGCTTCCTGTATCACTGCTGACCACACGGTCCCTTGGCTGTAAGTGTTACGACTTCACAATGAGCTAGTGATAACAAGGAGGCGAGGAAGATTTAACTGTCAGAAAATAGGCAGAGCCGGGCCCTTAAGAGGGTAGAGAGTGTCTGAAATAGCAAGGCTTCACAAAAGGGGGAGGACAGCTTCTCGGAACAGAAAACAATAAACACAGCTTGTTTTCTTCAAAGGAGATAGAGCAAGACAAAAGCAGGAAGTGCTGTCCTTCCTTCATCCTGCCACATTTTCAATGGAAAGTCAAGTGTGCGCATCAATCACAATAAGGGAGAAGAGAAAGGAGCAATACCATCTTCAATTTTTTTTGGAAGAAGAATACAAAGATGTATCACATAGAACACTGTTCTTCATTTTGCTCTTTCAAATAGTCCAGGGCATGCCACGCTATGAAGTAATTCCCACTGAAACACTCCCGTGCATGCGAAGCATGACCTCTCTTTAAACTTGCTGTATGGTTCATGCTACTTAGCACTTAAGGCAGGCATTTGGGCTGGAGAGAGAATACTATCCCATAATTCTCCAAAACAAAGATCTGGGTCCACATTACCTAGGTGCTTGTAAGCCTCAAAGGCCCTTGCTTTGCTGTGGTTACAAAGAATGCTCTACATACTTGGGTAGTTAGAAGTCTATTTTTTGAAGAGTTGAGACAATTTGCCAGGGAATTCTCAGAGAATGGATACTAACCATATGCCCTCCAAATTTTGTATAAAACTAAAAACAATGAGAACAAATAATTTATTTGCACTCAATCTCATCGTTACACAATTAATTTAATATGTTCTCTGGTGGGCTCAGCCTATGATGTCACTTTCTGGGACAGAAATCAAATTTTGCTAAATTCTATTAAGTGAAAATGAAATAATATATACAGGCTGTCCTGAATTATGGACTTGGTCATAAAAATTGTTTGCAATTCATATTTTGGATACCAAAATACATTTTAAAATAATAAAAAAGAAACCAATCAATGTTTGAAATAGTGGTTAACCCCAGGCAAACTTGCATAAATTTATTTACCCCATAATGAATCTAAAGAACAGTATTATGTTTACAATACTACAGAAATGGTAATGTATGCAAAGAAATAATTATAGCTAACATATATTGACAACTTACAATTGGCAAGAAACTATGCCAGAAGCTTTGCATGCATTACCTCTTTCAGTCCTCGAGCCTCAGAATGATACTGTCACCTGCTCTAGATCACACAGTAAGTGGTGACTTCAGAAGCTGAGGATAGGAAGTTGAACTCCAGAGATGCTACTAAGTGTTAAGAAACTTAGGCCTCTAGTTCCTGTTCCCTGTAGGACCCTGGACAGGTTACTCAACCACAATGAACCTCTGTTTTCTCAACTGCAAAATGAGAGTTGGATTTACAGATTCTTCTTGCTCCCTTTAGTCTGAAAATTCTATTATCCATTTGCTACATTCCACATGTATTCAGAGTTTCAATTTGGGATAAGATCAATATCCCTTTTCCCCTTACCTGGGGGAGGGGGAGAGCTTTTAGGAAGAAACTTGGCAGTCAAGGTAGGAATTCTAGAGGACACATGGAGAAGGGTATACAGACTATAATATGGGGAACCAGGGGCATCTGGTGAGGGTTTGAGTTTCCCGTTGGAGCTCTGACATTAGTTTCTTTTGCATGCATAGGGGCCAATTGGAATGTTTCTCTTCTTACGTAGGGTTTTACTTCTTCCAGGAGCCTATTTCAACAGAATACACAGTTAAAACTTCTTCCTTGTTCTCCTACCCCTGAAATAAGTACTACCTAATCCCACTGAGGTTTTCTAAGAGTATTTATCTCCAGTAACCAAAGAAGTGGACAAGAAGTGAATGGGCTTCCTGCCATATACACATGCTGCTTCAGTTTGACGTTTGTAGCAAAAGACTAAGGCGTTTGTAGATGACTAAAGGAAAAATCCATCTGAATTTTAGAGAGAAAAAAATCTAGGCTCCAAGTTTCTGCAACATTTCTCTTTAGGAAAAGTAAGGAGCTTCAGGGAGGAGAGTAGATAGAAATTCAAGATTCTGCGTTCCAAAATGCTTGGATATAGGAGAGTCAAGTAGAGGAAAGGGGGTGGGAGTGCAGTCTTTACGGTTTATACCACTAATTCTTCTTCCTTTCTCTCTTTTACTGAAAATCTTCCCAAAGCATACACCAGAGCAAAAGGAAAAATGTATAAGATGATGGAAAAGAGAAGGAAAAATGGAAAGGAAACTCAAATGCCACAAAAACATGGAGGATGGCGGTCCTTTGGTGGGAAATAATGAGCATTAGTATATGAGAGGTGGTTCAGCAAGGCTGTACATTCAAGCATGAATGTAAACACATGTAACAGAATATTAGGCTAGAGTAGATATCTTAAAGGTTATCTAGTCTTATCACCTTATCAATGTGAGAATTTTTTCTTAGAGTATCTTAGAGAAATGGTGAGGCAGGCTCTGCTTCAGTATTCTAAATAGCCCATTTCCTTCCTGGACAGTTCCAATAGTTAGAAAGTTCTTGGAACATTATCACTCCCAACTATTTGTTTTGGCACAGACTCAATAAGGGCAGAAAATATGTATTATTTTTGCATCCCCAGAACCTTTGATTTAGTGCATAGCAGATACTCAATAATTTGTTAGATTAATACACAAGTAAATTAATGGATATAAACTATCTGAAGAAATGGATTAAGACTACTTTCTAATCTGTACATTAACTCTTTACATATCTGAAAATAATTATCATGTGGCCTAAACTTTCTTTCTCAAGCTAACTATCCTCAATTTTCTCAACTGACCCTCTTTGTTCTGACAATCTAACTCTTGGAAACTATTATATTACCCATATGTGCCTTTGTCATGTCTTATATAGATTCAAAGGAAATAAAATAAAAACCAAGGGGTAATAAAAATCCTCTTATCACATCTATTCCTCTTTGTTCTTAACCATAAAAATCCTTTGAAGATTCTATAGCCTTCTCAAATAGTTCAATAATAAAATAAATAGTATGTGTTCATTGTAAAAAAATGAGACAATAAAATTCTCTCATAATCCAAACTATTTAGGTACATCTTCTTTCAATTCTTTTTAAAAAAGATTTTTAAAAGTAATTTGATCACACTACATATATAATTTTATACCCTGCTCTTTTACTTAACAATATACNCTTTTTAAAAAAGATTTTTAAAAGTAATTTGATCACACTACATATATAATTTTATACCCTGCTCTTTTACTTATGAACATTTTCTCATGTTATTAACAATTACAGAAACTAAAGTACATATATTTCATTAGAGAGCTATCCAGTTATTTATCCAACCAATACCTTAAGGTTGCACAGCGCCCAGTATATCACCACAGTAAATAATAGAACTTAGGGGAAAAAAATGAATGTACATGCATTTTCCCCATATATTTGCTGATCAGTTTAGGACAGATTACTAAAGTTGTAGTTACTAGGTCTCAGGGTATACATTTTTAATAAGATTTTTCAAATACTCTCCCTCTAGATACCTTTCCCAGCCCTCAAGACTAGGTTAAATTCCTTTGTTACGTGTTACTATAGCACTGAGCAGTCTTCTTCTGTCATCTTCATCACCATTTTGAATCCTTGGTTATATTTTTATTTCCTTTTAGACTGCAAATTAAGACTGCAGTAAGGCAAAGCCATGAACATTTTTGCTGATTGCATAGGGCCCACCACATAGTACATACTCAATGTATATTTTATTCAGTTGGATATTGTTAAATTGCTTCCTTAAAAGGGACTTTGAATTTGTATACCAGAAACACTGTTTTCATATACCCAGCTCATTGTATTAACATCCTAAAACTGAGATACCCCAAGAGGAGTAAAATGCTCTTGATGTGACGCAGTTGGTACACAATGAGGCCTGTGATGCAGAACTCTTCTTTCAGCTATTAGGAAAGTACTGAGTGTATTAAGCTCTATCTGAACATTACCAACTCTCGGGGTAAAAAAGCTCCTTCTTGGCGGGCGATGACCAGAGATGCAGTCTCTCCCTGCTTGGTGCTCCTCAGCATGGCCACGAGCTCTTCCTGAGTGCGTCCAGTGACATCTCTGCCATTTACCTAATGAATACAATCATATGAACAACCATGATTACAACACTTGCCATCTTCTTCTACCCTAATTGGTTTTTGAAAGTAAGCAGCAAATGGGCTCCCCATGATCAATGAAGATCTGAAATAAATAGTAAAGACATGGACCCAAACCAGCCATCTTGGAAATAACAGTAACATACCACCATCATTAATTTTGGTGCTGGACAGTCTCAGGCAGTCAGCAATTAATATGAGCAATTTCTCCTAAGACTTCACATTCTTATGAGGGGACAGACCGAAGGCTTTTCAAATGCTTAATGGGCACCATTTTCTGCCTCATACAAGAACCAGAAATGAACTATTCCCACTGGGCAAACTGCTCTGGGAACAGGAGTCTTTTGTTACCATTCTACAGCATGCTCCATGTTTAGGAAAATACAGTCATCAGGTCATCTTAGATTACTGGGAATTCTCATTTGCAGCTACGTTAAGTCATTCGGTACATCTCCTTTCATGATGAGATGCCATGAGAAAGTTAAACGGAACCAGACAGTTTCAATGGAGATGATTTCTTGAAAGGTGAGTTGACAATATATATTTAGCCAAGAAGATGATGCTATCAAACAAAAGTAAATGAGAGGAGGGGAAAAAAGCCTCTTGCACTGGGTAATTCCAAATACTTCTCTACAGGCATAGATCAACCTGAGACAGGCGGACCCATTCTTGAGAGAAGTTTAAAGAAATTGTTACCAGGGCTTGGGTGTAACTTTGAAATTCTTACCCCTAATTAAAGGAACTCTTAGATTTGATCCAAATTCCCCAAGGACCCTAAGAGGTGAAAGTAAGAAAAGACAGAAAAAATTTTCAGTGTTACTTGTCCCTGTATCACTGACCTTATTGGGGGCTTATGAAGTTAGGCTGCTTATTAACTAGTTTTATAATTAAAGTATTTATCTTGTATTTAATAATTTTTAACATATTATATTCAAAATATAAATATTAATATATGTTTATATACTTATTTATATAAAACCAAGAAATATTTTATTCAAGATATTAATTCCAATTCTTACCTCCAAAATTCTGTCCCCTGATTGCAGGCGGCCGTCTTTTATTGCTGCTCCCTTTGGTAAAATGTTTTTGACAAAAATGGGACCAGGGCCATGTATGGAAGAGTCTCTGGTAACCACAGTGAAACCAAGTCCTTCAGGGCCTAGTGTATAAGACCAGGAAGATTCATGATCACCGTAAGCAGGAATAATATTATATTCAATCTTACAGTAAAATCTACCTAATTTGGACCCATGTAGAATGAGTGAAATAGTTACATTCCGGTAAATACTTTAAATATGTTTCATTTGTCTGGTTTCAAATAGAGATTGTTCCCGACAGGTTATGATGCTATCAAAGTGAATTTAGGGCCAAATGCAGATGTGTGACACTTTTGTTTTAAGGTCCTAGAAGAAATGCCACATGTTATCCATACACCTGGGAGACTGATTTCTCAGTAAACCATAAGAAGCAAAAGACCACGTGACATGAGTTTTGTCAGCGCTCAATCAGCTGGCTACCTGTGGCTCGCCCCTGCTGTGTCTCTCCCTTGTATGCCGCATCCCACTGTCCTTCACTCACTCTTGTTGCTCCTGTCCTGGTCCCATGCATCTCCAAGCTCTCTCCGTAAGGACATGTTTTTTTCACTCTGTCTAAAGGTATGCTTAGATTTCTCTCTAAAGGATCCTATTCCAGTCTTGCTGCTTCTTCAGTCTTCCATCACCAGTGACCCACCTGTGTGCATACCCAGTAATCCTTCCTGTTCTTGATGTTTTCCCCTTCCCTAGTTTGGGCACATCTCACCAATCATTTTCTTGATATTAGCCACCCCCTTGGTCCCCAGATCTTCATTTTCTGATTATTTTCCTCCCTCTCTGATCACATCATATCTGTCATTATCTCTCTTACCCACTGTTCTCCCACAGCAACATAGATGTGCCCCAAGGATCTGTCCTGGAACAATTTTTCCTCTAGACTCTCGGCCTTGTCCAGCTCCTGGCTCAGATCTCCCTATAAATGACACCTAAACATCGTTGTTTGGCCCTAATGTCTCTGGTGTCAGCTTCTTAGAAATCACCATGCACATACTTTCAGCAGCTTTTCAGACTTTACTAGGAACCTGTTCCCTGATCCAGATCCTGACCTTTTCAAATATACTCATCTATATAAAATTCTACTTGCTAGCAACAGCATCTCCCTCCTGCAAGTTACTCTGGCTGAAACCCTCAGCAATAACTGCAATCCCTCCCTCTCTTCCCTCCTACATCCAGGCGGCTACAAAGGCACACATATCATATCTAGACACATGCAGTGCGCCCTTACTGATCCTCTGCTGCTTGGTGTCTTCCTCAGTATATCTTTTTGCTGTCAGATTAATTTTCCCAAAGTACAGCTCTGATGTCATATTCTTTATTTTCCTATCCAAGGCTTCCTGATAGATTTTTAAGGTCATAGTCTGCTTTTGATTCATCTATCTTCAAAGCACGCAACCCTATATCTATACATAATTGGATAATTTGTAAAAAACACACACAAATTATGCATTTATATAAAAAGCCCAATTGCTATGCACACTGGAATATCTGTACCTCCTACTCAATGCATTTCCTTCCCAGTACAGAATTATTATCGAACATTTTGACCAGAGGATCTTTCAGAATTATCTTTATTAAAAGTATATGTTATTTGCTTTTAATATATGTTAATAAGTATTCTAAAACTACCTTATAATCATTAAAATATCTACTAATTTAGACAAGAATCTATGAGATCTTAGTGTCTTTTGAACTGAGTCTTGAAAATCACATAGGATTGCAGAAGGTTGCAGTGGGGGAAGGAAGTTACGAAATAAACAAAGGCACAGAAATGCATGAATGCTTATGTTTATGATAATGTTGCATAAATATGTATGCACACACGTGATCTAGTCTCATTGATCTGCATTCGAAATGGATAGGAAGATTGAAAAAGACGAAGAAGAAAAGGTTATACATGCCTTTGAAATTAAGTATGTTTTAAAAAATTGTTTGCAATGTTGAATTAGTGAAATGACTAATTATCGCATGTTTGTTTTCTGATGAGTACATTTTTTTCTGGTCCAAAACTATCGCAGAGAGCCAGAAACAATACGCTTTTTGAGCTTGGCTTAAAGATGTTTCAAAAATCACTCATCTTGCTCAAAACAGGGACAACTGAATTTTAGTGTCTATTTCGTATTAGGTTGTGATACAGTATTGTTCTGTTTCTATCAAATTTGCAATGATTCTTTCCATTCCCCAACATGTCTTCATTATTTTCTTATTTCAAATAATCCACACTCTCCAGGAGAAGAGATTAAGAAGAAAGTACTACAATTTCAAGAAATCTGTTACCTAAGTATACACTTAAATCTATTCTTTGATACAATTAAATGAAGGGAAAATTAGCAAAATTAGCCTTAATGCATTTGTCTTAACCAATTTTACACGTTACAATAATAGAATGCTATTAAGCATAATTTAATAATTACCTTTCTTAAGGTCAATCTTGATTTTCTTTGCATTCTTCTTGCTGCCAAAGCCCATGAGAGGGGAGAGTGAGGGAGAGGGTGGCTTTCTACCTATTCTTGGGACTCGGGGGCTCTTGCTTTGCTGCGGGGAAGCCGACGCGTCTTCGTCGGGACCGCTCGCTCCTGTGAGATTCGCTGTCTTTATTCCCGACCTTCCGTGGACGGGAGGTGGTGGCTTTGCTCTCGAGACGCCATCGTTGTTACCAAAAATGTTCAGAGGTCCAATGACTGATTTTTCGTACTGTTCTCGGTTTTGAGGGGGAAGCACGTGGAGCAGCACGCAGGGGGCTTTCATGGCCTGACGGAAGACGTCCTGGGCCCTGGGGAGAGGTGGGAGCCGGTCAGACGCCGCGCGCCAGCTGCCACCTTCCAAGCGCGGTGTCGCGGCGACGGGAGCAGCTCGGTGGCCTAAGCATGGGAGCTCCTGGCCCCACGACCACCAGCTGGGCGTTGCAGTGGTCCCTCAACCTTAACCACCGCGTGAGATGAGCAAAATCAGCTCTCATTTTGCAAAATCAGAAAAGTGAGGCTCAGAGAGATTAAGTAACTTGTCCAACAAACCACAGCTTTTAAGTTTTTCTAAATCTATCCAGAAGCAAGGATTGCTGAAGTAAGTAGAAAAGCAAGCTTTAATTTTAGATGGAAAAAAACCTCATTTTGTATAATTCAGATTATCAGTTAATTTCCGTTGAGGACTTTATTCTAAAGTACGGGTTTTCTGTTACCTGAATTGTGTTCCCCAACTTCAGTCCCGACACAGAGGTTTCCTTACAGGGACAGCCGGCAGGAGCGTGGGCTGTGCCGAGGGGCGCGGTGGGCTGTTAATCCCGTACGCACCTTCTGTAACTCTGGTTGCTCCATTAAAGGCTACCTGCAGTTTTGACTTTTACGTCTTAGCACTTTGTGTTTTCCCTCAAATTTCCTACTTTTTTTTTTTTTTTTAAATTTTATTTTTGTTTAAAATATTACAGATG